GAAGAGTGTTGACGAATCCTACTATGCTGAGGGGGTATCTAAGCTCCTAGAGTCAAAAGTCAAATAAAAACGTTCAACTAAAATTGATATTTGAAAGAATTTTCGTGACCAAGTTCTGCCTTCACGGGACTGCAGGTGTAGATGTTGTCTGTCAAAATTATTTCTTTTTTTTTCTATGAAACATTATTAGTCTAGTGAGCTGCCTGTTTCCAGCCAATCCTTAAATTGCCTATCAGTTGGTACATTAAGAACGGATCACTCTATCCAATAATACAATGCAATTCAAGACCACTTACTGGAATTCCAGAAGGACCTGGAGATCCTTGGGGTCCCTGAAGTCCGATGCCGCCATCTTCGCCATCGCTGCCAGGTTTGCCTACTGGGCCCCTTTGTCCGGGGACTCCAGCCTCTCCCGGCGCTCCATCCTGACCGGGGGCTCCTTTATAGCCCCTGGGTCCAATTTCGCCATCGATGCCTGGTAGACCGGCATTTCCAACGGAGCCTCTTGGTCCACGAACACCTTCACTGCCCTGCTTTCCGGGCTCTCCGTGGGTACCGGGCAATCCGTCTATGCCATTATTGCCGGGCAGACCAATCAGCCCGCCTCTGCCCATCTCTCCTTTGTTGCCCTGGGGCCCAGGGGGACCTCTGGGGCCCGGCTTTCCGGGTCCACCCTTCGGGCCCGGTTCGCCAACATCGCCGATTTCACCCGTGAAGCCGACGTCTCCCGTGGGGCCTGTGAAACCAAGCTGGCCCGTCAGACCTTCAGCGCCTTTGATACCTTTCTCGCCGGGCAGGCCGGGCTCCCCGACTCGTCCGGGGGATCCAACGGAGCCACGAGGACCCATTTGGCCTTGAGTGCCGATCTCGCCTTTGATTCCAATTAGTCCATTTTTGCCATTTCGACCCTAAAATAGTCGATTTAGTTTAAGGGCTACAAAATTATGAAAACAATTTCAATTTCATTCATACCTATCGAGAATGCTTAGGGGCTCTCAAAGGATCTTGAATGCGAACTTTGGTCGTCTTAAGTCATATAAGATGAGGCAAAAGATAAAGTGACATTATCCAACAATGAGCATACCTCCTTCCGGCATTGAATTTCACTTTGCCTTGTCTCCAAAAAG